TCCCCACAGGGCTCCTGTGTGCCATCGGAAAGACCAGGCTGAGATGAGCTGCTGCAGCCTGCCAGCTAGCAGGCTCTGCCTCCGCCCCGTGCCCATCAACCACAGGCAAGGCCTGCAGGATGTCCTGGGGAGATGAGCCTGCACTCCTGCTGCCAAGCCCTGCTCCCCACAGAGCCAGTGCAGGCAGCAGATGAGCTGGTCTCTCCCTGCCAGAGCAGGCAAGGGGGTTGGAAGGTAGGAGGTAGAACCAGTCTCATTAAGGGTAATTACCATTCATCCCAGGGAGCAGTAGGAAAAAGAGCCCACATTCTCCCCATCTATTAATAGCTGTCAGCAGCTGCATGGTTCCTGCTGGCACCTAGGGAGAACAGAAAGCTTTGGGAGAGTGGCAGCACAGAGAGCATCCTGCTCCCCATTCCTTGAGCACTGGCTGCCCAGGGGCCTTTTTCCTCCTTCCAGGATGTCATTTGTTTTCCTGCTTCCCCCAGGACTCCAGGAGCTGCCAGCTGCTTTTAAACAGTGTTTTCCGGCAAGAGCTGCAGGGAGCCAGCCAGAGAAGGGCCTGGAGACAGGGTTTTGGAGACAGTCCCTGCTCCTCAGTATCCTCAGTTTGCTGAGTCCCTCCCAGTTTTGGCAACTTTCTGTGCTCCTCGTTGAAACGGTAGAAGCCATTCATGAAAGAGGACTCCACCAGTGCCAAGGACAAACCTTGCTGGCTCCTGCCCTAATGAATCCCTTTGGTGTCAGGCAGAAATAAAACACCAACAGCCTCCTCTTGAACCTGACCTTCAACTGTGCTTGTGGTTCCTCCCCATGGCGAGATGAACCACATCTGACAGATGAGTGTAGCCTAGCTCTGGGCATCAGCTAGAGAAGCTGCCCCAACCCAGAGTAAAGGACTCAAATAAATGATATCCTGGACTGGTATGGTGACTTCTGGCAACACAAGGGGATTTCGTTCTGTCACGGTGGGGTATGAGGACACAGGGGGCTGCAGAAGATGCACCAGTAGAGCTGACTTGGGAGGACACGTGCACAGAGGGGTTTTTTTTTCCACTCCTGCTACCTCCAGCTGCCAGTGCAAACAAACAGCCTGCCACTTGCCATGGGCAGAAGCCTCACCAGATGTTTTCCTGCAGTCCTGAGGATGGTCCTGGTGTCAGAGGGGAGGGGAAGGGAGGGAAGAGAGGGGAGGGCATGGGAGGGGAGGGGAGATGCTTGGCTGCAGGGTATCTTGGTGGCTGAGCAAAGCCAGGGAGGATAACATGTTACTTTTCCATCATGCCTGGGACACTAAAAAAGGTTGTCACCCTACAGCCATATCTCTGTTTCCAGAACAACACCTGAATCTTCATATTAGCAGCAGAAGATGCCTTGTGGGATATGTTCCTCCCACACAAGGCACTGCAGAACCTGGCTCCTGTCCGATTTATTTGTTGTGATATGAGTTTTGACTATTGTTACACGGTCCTCCAACTCCAGGCAAAGCTGGCAGAGCTGATAATGCACAACGCCAACACAGGTGCTGTCTGGGGGAAATCTGAGACCTGGCAGCTGCAGGGATACAGAAGGCACCTGTGGTCTGCTGGTAGGATGATGCTCTAGTCACTAAGGCCAGGAAGCAGCACCTTCCCTCATCCCCACCCTCAGATGTGAACAGGGGGAATGGGAATGGATACAGATGTTTTACCCTACACAGTCAGCTTGAGGAAGAAAAGCCACTGCACACCCCACTGGGAACAGGTGCTGATGCCTACACTCGTGGAAATAAATGCTAAGATAGATAAAGAGTTAACACAGCTATGTTTTGACTACCACTACTTGGTTTTGGCATATGATTCAACACCTGATCGCATCCAGTTTGACAACTGACTTCAATACTTGGGCTGTGTTGTCTCTGGGAATCAATGACTGGACAGACACAGCTGGACTCCATGGGACAGTGAAGTCTCCAAAATACTACATTTGCATCATGCTAGCCATGAGGGGGGCTAAAAACGTCAGTGTTGATGGCTTGTTGAACATTCAGCTCAGAAACTGATCACTGTTGTGGAGGCAGCTAAGGGGAGCTATTTCTGTGGATCCAGTTTGGCTATCTCGTTTGCTATTCAGGTGTCTGACTTAATACATGCATGGAAATCAGTGCAAGAGAAAATATTTCTGATCTTATATTGCTCTCATTTCTCCTTTTCAAAGTCTCAAAAGCCCTGAAGATGTATTCCCAGGAATAACATGGTCAGTGTGGGGTCAGTGTTTGTGAAGGGCTTTGCAAGGCTTTTGACACCCCCACTGTGTTAAACAGCAGCTTGACTCACAAGGTGGTGTCACTGTCTTCTGGGGAGTTGAGTGACAGAATCAGGCCACACCTAGAAAAAGAAGTACACTGCTGCCAAAGCCTAACTTCCCATCTTTGAAACTCACAAAGTAGGCCTCAAAATCTTGATCCTTTTTTTAATCTATGCCTCTTTGCATTTATTGTTATGCTGCTGGGCCTTTTGGGTATTCTCGGATCATGCTTGTAACATCTTTTTCACGACCAGGAGGTATATTTTATATGAAAGTCAGCACAGCTTCCTAAAAATGCCAGCTATTATGGGACTTGCAGGACAGTTATGAGAGCTGGCATCAGTGTTATGTATGCTCCCACAGGGCACAGGCTGGCTGTGCTCCTCATGTGCCCACTACTGAGTGTATCAGCATTCTGATGAAGAGAAAGAAAGACACATTTTAGTTTGAAAATCCCCTGGCAAATACTGAAATGCTTAGATCTGAGGAATGGAAAGAGAAGGTTGAATGTTTTTATCCCTTTGTTTACTCTTTGTATTCCACCTCATTATGTGTGTGTAGTCACTGCCTTGACAAGAATTCCAGTCTTTCCCCTCCTCAACAGAGGATGCTTAACAGCAGAATGAAAAAAGAGCACATCAGGGAGGAGCGATGGGCACACAGCAGAGGGATCAAGATCTTCTTGCCTTCGGTGGAGTTCTCAGGTTTGCTCTTCTCCCCCTTGGACCTGCCTGAGATCTGCTGTTCGGCGGTAACAGCCCCAAAATATGAGGCCTTGGAGCAACCCTGTTTCATGCACTGACAGTGTACCTTTAGCATCACAAACACGCAATAAAAACCAGGTATCTTGAGGACTGTAAAACATTCACCCTCCGAATACTGGTACTGAACCATTCACACGCCCTGCTCTATTCTTTCCGTTGTGCCGTGATGCCAGAGCAGCTGTCGCTGCAGGAGTGTCCGCGACCTCGGCCCCTCCCGCCCCACTCCAGCACTCCTGGAGCATCCCCCTGAGGGGTGAGCTCCTCCGTGCTCGAAGAAGGGGCACCCACTCGGCGCGATCGTGATGCGGGACCAGCTGCCCCTCGAGCCCCACGCGTGCCCGGCCGGGTGTCCCTCCCGCCCCGCGGGGGCCCCGCCCGGCAACGGCCGCGTCCGCAGCGACAGCGGCGGCGGGGCGAGGGCGGCGGGGCCGGGTGGTTCCTGCTCCCCCCCGCATCGCAGCAAGGGACGGAGCCGGCAGCCAGAGCCCCCCGGGCCCGCGGGGCCGGCAGGGACCCCGCACGTTTCACGCCCGGGTGCGCCCACGGCGCTGCGGGGGCTGGGAGCGCCCACCTCCCGTGACCGGACACGTCGACCCTCCGGCAGTTTGCAGGTCTGATTCTTAAGGAAGCCGGGCCGGGCTAATGAGTTTTCTTCCCTCTCGGGGTCTCTGGAGAGGAGCTTGGCCGGGAGCGGGTAGCGCAAGGCCGTGCCGCCGGCATCCCGTGGAGCTGGGCTGGAGGGGCAGCAGCCAAGCGTTCTCCTTGCCCGTGGGGAAGGGACCCCTCTCCGAGTAACCGGGGGCTGGCACGGCAGAGCCGGCTGTGCGCAGTGGCCGGGGCTGCGGTGGGCGATGCTTAGGTCCGAAAGGGCTTTCGTGTTTCTGACATCCCTTTGGGGCAGAGATCCTTCCCGGGTCATGCTGGCAGAAGTCCAGGACCTTCACACCGCCTGGATTACAGTGGTGACATTAACCATATTCCCAAAAGGCTGGCTGGCCTTGTTCTACCTGATCTCCCATTACAGACAAATTTCATTATATCTGAAGCTAAATAGATTCCTCATTTGACATGCCTTTTTTCCTTTTTTCTTTTTTTTTTTTCTTTTCTTTTTAACACACTTAAAACCCATTGCAGACACTCAGCCTCTTGATTAGCCTGTCTTAATGCACACTTAGCATCAGCCTTTGGAAGCGCAAGGGAGTGTGGCAACTCACCTCAGGTGGCAGCAGGATCAGCAGTGTTAGCCAGCACTTGGGATTGTGTGCCCGGACTACAGATAACAGCACCAAGGTCAGGACACCTGCAGAATAACTGGTGTGCCGCTGCAGTGGTGTAAGAGCTTCCTTGATTCATGCATAGACAGAGATTCAATGTGAATGGGATCTTGGCCAGGGCATAACCACCCTCAGAAAGAATTTCTCCTGCACTTGCAAACTCTCCAGTAAATGCAGTGTTTAATTGTTTCATATCTTGGATCTCCATAATGCTGATAAGAAGCATCAGCCAAAGGTCACCAGTTTCCATACAGCTCTTCTTTTTTGGTCTCCATGGGTTTTGGTGTGAATCAGAAGAGCAAAAATTTTTATTCCCAGGTCAAAACAGGCTCAACTGGAGAAGCTTTGTTAGGCGCGTTAGTAGCAGCATAAGTTGGCTGTGTGAGTGGACTTCTGTCAGCTTCCTCCTGGGAAGGGAAGTGTGATTTTTTTTTTTTTTTTTTAAGAATTTTAGCATTATTTACCTTTCAGTCTAACCCAGTTGTTAAATGATACATTGGGAGTTTACTACATGACCCCATTCGTTGTATATCATTTAATAAAGCCTTTTTAGGATAGGTGACCGCTGTGCGTGTAGAGTGTGTGGGAAGGAGTGTGCATTAATTCTGTTGTCTTGGTTTATTGCTAGTGAATTACAGTGCTTCTCCACTTTTAAATACACGCTTAGCAAAAGCAGGTATGGAAACTAGCTTGGCGTGTCAGCTCTGGATGGGTGAGACTTCTGCACCCGAGCCAGAGGGGATGAGGGCCGAACGAGGTCCTTCCCCTGGTGGTAAGCACACCTGGCAGGGTGTGCTCACTGTGCTGGCATGGTGGGAATGGAATTGGGAGTGGTGACTCAGCATGAGACCTGGCACTGGGGTTGACTTGGAGGCCTTGCAGCCTTGCTCTTGTTGGCTTCAATAGTGAGTGACAAGTGGGGATGGCAGAGTCAACTGAGCTACTTGCTCTGGGGCTCAGGTCAAGGGAAAGCTTCTCAGCAGCCCAGACACAGAGACCTCAAGCTGTCTGCCTCTCCTTTGTGCCCACCTGACATTGGGGCTGGCCCACAGCTGAGCAGTGCGCAATGACTCACCTCTCACTGCAGGAGAGCTTTGCTCAGAGAGCTTCGTCCATTGCATGGAGGCAGCTGCACTGTTTCTAGAGATGGGTTTCAGCTCTGCCTGTGTCTCCTGCTTCCTCTCCAGCAGTCCTGCATGTGCCATGGTTTACCTACCCTTCAAAAACTGGTAAATTGGCAGTTGGATCACCTGCTGGAACACAGACAGGAAATAATCCTAGGCCACCAATGCTGCACTAGCTCTCCCCAACAGCTGGCCTTTAATGATTGCTTCCAAAAGGTCAGGAAAGCCATCAGAAGCTCCAATTAGCTGTGACTGGCCTGGGGGACAGAGTGATACAGATGATTTTTGAATAGGACAAAGGATTGAGCAGGGAGAAAATATTTTTCCCAGTCACTTCTCTTCTATTAATGCCACCTAACTGCCTTCCAGCTGTGCTTTGCCCTTCTGCTGAAGTCCATCAAGCTCCAAGAGCCGGGTTTCAGCTGGGTAAGTGTGCTGTGGAGAACCAGCACCTTTCTCCCGAAAGGTGGCCCACCATCATAGCACCTTCTTTTGGGGCTGAGAAGCTTTTCAGGAAAACAACTCTCAGACCATCCTCACACCTGCCTGTTGCTCATTCCTTCTTCCACATCCATCCTTCTTCAGACCAGGCTCCCTTTTTCTACAGCCTTTGTCTTTGCCATCTGTACACCAGTGCCTCCCAGGAAATATAGCTTCATCCTCCTGCTTTCTTGTTGAACCTGGAACTCAAGTGGAAGATTCTTTCCTGGTGTCTTCTCTGCCTCTTTCGGACTGGTAGTGCTGGTAAGAGAACCGTTAGGACTTCCAGGCAATAACCGTACATGTGGGATTCTGATGGCAGAAAGCACTGGCCCTGAGGTTGGAGTAGGAAACGGCAAATGGACAACTTTGGTCTGGGAGGGCTCTGCAGAGCTAATAGGATTGGGCATACTTTCTCCCGTTCCAGGCTGGGTTTTTAGTTCATATTTGCTCAGGCTGAGTGCAGTCTGAACAGGTCTGACCCATCTCATCTGTTAATGGATGTTTGGAAAGAGTTCAGCTGGATGGTAATTGAGAAATGCAGGGGAAAAAAAAATCACACTTATAATGTATTCATCTGTAAACCATCTGTCTTTAAAGAGTCATAAGAACAGACATACTGGATCAAATTGGGGGATAGCTGGCCCAACAACCCATCTCTGACGACGGCTAGAAGCAGACACCTGGAGAAGAGTAGACAAACAATGCAAGTATATGTTCTTCATTCCTCCAGCAGTCTCCCCACCTCCAGTTGTGTTCAGCTCACACTGAGCCACGTGATTTCTGCGCATTTAATCATTCTCAAGGGGTTTTTCTTCCATGGACTTGTCCTGGAACCTGCACAGTCTCTTAGCATCCACATCATCCCATGGCAAGGGATTCCCCAGTTCAACTGCAGACCATGTAAAGAACCATCATTTCCCTTTGCTTTAAACCCAGCTCCTGTCAGCTTCACCTATTCCTTTTATTGGAAAAGACAGTAAACAATCAATTCCCGTCCATCCTCTTCAACAGCACTCTGAATTAACACCACATTATTATCTGCTTATTACATGTAATGCCTAGAGACCTCTTTGGATGGGGCGGGATATCAAGATAAGGCTGAGTAATAGTTGTTTGGCTGAAGTGCTCCAGTCCAAAGCAGAGGAGGCAGGCAAATGTGTATTACAGAAGAGCAGTGGAGCAGATCGTTCTTATCACTGGCCTCTTTCTTGTCTCTTTCTTTTGCAGGCAGTCCAGCTGGAGAATGTGGTGCTGACTCTTAAGCACTTCTGAGGGCGAAGTGGGTCCTAAGCAGGATGCAGCAGCCAGTGACTGGTGACAGGAGCACAGCCATTCCCTCGCCACGTCCATCTCAGGCCAGCTTTGATGCTAGCTTGTACTACGCACGCCGGTGCATCACTGAGGACCCCAGCTGGTCTCTTGTCACTGTCCCTCACCTCACTGAGCTCTGCCTCCAGCACATCGTTCACAATTTTGAAAGTAAGTGGGGGTGCATTTACCCTGGGGCACAGGGAGAGAGAGCATCAGTCCCAGGGAGCAGAGGGTCAACAAGGCAGGCAGATGCATCTGAAAGGCAGAGTGTGGTACCCAGCCCTGCCAAAGGGACAGATGGGGAGAAATATCCCCTTGGGCAGCCAGTTAAACAAACTGTTTAGTTGCTAAGTATGTACTTCTACACTCCAGGGATGGCTGTAGTCCTCTGGGCTGCTGTCCAGGATGTGACTATGCCCTGACCTTGTTCAATCATATTGTCTTCCATCTGTGCTCTTCTGGACTCACCTCAGCCATGGCTGGATCTGCGGAGCTGCTGTTTCCTCCTCTTGATTCATATACTTGTTATGGTAGCGCTTGAGGATGGAGCCCTGTTATACTGAGAGCTGTACTCCTCCCTGCCTGGAGGAACTGCCATCTCAGAACACGTATTGTACTCACAGACTCAGCCCTCCTCCATGGCTTTTGGTGGTGATGTGACAAGTTATATCCCTGGGCAGAGAATGTGCTTTTGAAGCAGGTGGACTGAGGAAACAGCAAAACAGAAAAAGCATGTTTCATCTGAGAACTGACTGGGAGGGGGAAAAGAAGGGCCTACCTGTCTTCTTGGCTGACTCAGTGAAGTGGCAGCAGAAACCAAAGACAGCTCTAAGGCTATCTCGACACTGGGACTGTAAAGACAGTACAGAGGAGCTCCGTGCTGCCTTATGCCAGGAGCTGATGGTACCCGAGGGTTTGAGCTGGGACACCCTTGCAATCCTATCAGCCTCATCAGTAAGTCTGATGCCAGATGGATTGGGCCTACATTGTACGTACATAAAAGCAGTGTGCTTGGTGTCATGGGGACACTCATGCTATTACTTGAGCTGTGCAGCTGCACCTTGCCCACTGCTGTGGCCTGAGTGAACCCAAGCGAAACTAGCCCAGTCCTGCCCATATGTGTCCCACCTCTGCTTGTGTTGTGGGACTTAGCAGAGAAGGTCACTGCAGTGTTAACTGTAGGACACTGGAAAATAGACTCCAAGAAGAGGCTGTGGTAAAACTCTGGGTGTCCTTAGGAAGGAAATGCTACAGCAACAGAGGAAATATAAAGATAATCCCACTTTGTGTCTCAAAATCTGGTTTCTCAAGCACAGATAGGTCTCTCCACTGATGATACCTGTTACTCAGTATGACTCTGTACGTGTCACCAAACAGTCATGATGTGAGTACCCATGGCTTTTCTCTGGCATTTCCCACCACAAAGAACTTCCACCAGACAGAAGCTAGCTGAGGCCTAGGGTGAGAACTGGGAAAGAGTCTGAGGGGAGAGAGTTCCTGGGGAAACAGAACTTTTATTTAAACAAGGTGGGCCTAAAAGCTAGGAGTGTGTCTCAGTGAAAATGAATCGGTTTAGGGTAAGACAGACATCTGAGTTAAGATAAATAGGCACAAGGACCTGCATGAAGAGCACACACAGACAGTCGTTCTCAAATACTGTTCTTCAATATGCTTAGAAACCAAAAGGGAGAAAGTTCAGCAAATGGCAAACCAAGCTCTCCCATTGCTATACAGCTGAATTAGCTCTCTTGGGAGCAGAATTCCTGCTCTGAATATAAACTGCATTCAAACTAAATTTAAATGGGGAGCTAAGTTTCTGTTGCAGTTCTCAAATATTATGAGAGTAAACCCAATTACGCTGATATTTATTGTAAAAGTTAGAAATCCTACACAGAAATGTAGGAGGTGAATTCTACGTATTTTCTGCCAGCTTAGTTATGCACACCAGCCTCTGGCAACTAAGAAGAGAGCCAATATCAGCAGAAGGGAGGGCCTGGGCACAGAGCTGCGGGGCTGGGCAGAACCGTAGAGCTAGCCATGGATCTTACAGCCAAGACCAATCTGTCCATCTTTTTATTCCTTCCAGAAAACCCTATTTTGAACTATCTTCTGCCTAAGCACCAAAGGAAGGTGCTGGACAGGCTCTCCACTGGCCTTCCACTTGCTGTGACTGCCAACCTAGTAAGCGATGAGGAGTACTGGAAGAGGTGCTGTACTGAGCGCTGGCAACTGTGTGATGTCTCCAACTATGGAGACAGCTGGAAACGGATGTTCTTTGAACGTCACCTGGAGAACATCCTGAAATGTTTCACCCCTAACACCACAGACCCCAAACAGGTCCTGGAGCTCATCCCACTCTGCAAAGGCTATGTGAGGAAACTGGAGATTGATCAGTTCCTGCCACCGGTGAAGGTGGATCAAAAAGAGGAGAGGGATGACCTCTCTGATGCAGGGAGTGACTTTGAATCTGGTGAGGCCTCTGTGCAACACTACGACCTGAAAGATCTCATTACTGCTCTCCCTCACCTTGAAGAGCTTCATCTCACTTATGGTGTGAAGGACTGTGGCATGAACTTTGAGTGGAACCTCTTTAACTTCACCAACCAGGACTGCTGCAATTTGGCTGCTGCTGTGAAGATGTGCCACAACCTGAAAGTAGCGTACATCAAACTGAACCTTCCCCTTCCTCAGATAGATTTTCAAATCACCTGGGGATAGAAGTGCAGGGACCAGTTTTGCTGGCAGCACCCTTCCTTTTGCAAGTTACAGAGTCTGGCAGAGCACAGAGATGTAACTTGCTGGCCTAGTGCTGAGTATCTCGTTCTGCAATGTCCTTGTTAAAACGGGTTGTCAGAGGGTCAGTGAGAAAAATACTTGCTCCCACAAAACATGCTGCCTGTAGCATAAGGGACAGCAGCACTCCTGTTTCAACTCCTCACACAGTTCTGGGAGGGAAGGAGAAATCCAGAGAGAGTTCTTCATAAGGAATTTTTGGTAGTAATGCTCAGTAAATACATGCCAAGGTGCAAAGATGCCCAAGAAGAGCATGGGGACATACTCACATTTCTCTTAGAATGAAGAAGGGTTTTCCTCCTGGGCATTAACAGCATCTTCAGTTCTGTGGTAACTGCAGTGGAGATAGCCCCTCCCAAACACCAGTAGGCTTTCCTATCTATAGTGGAGACAGGGCAAGCTGGCTGAACACTCTCCCCATAAATCAGCATGCTTTGGGAAATATGTGTCTACTTGGCTTCCAAAAGAGAAATGACCTCTCTTGAGGCTGTTAAGGTGCCTGGGCAGCACAGGACATTGCACCGTGGTTACCACTGGTGTGCGCGTTCATTCGGACAATGTTTGACTGTGATCTGGGGTGGGCTCTGCTGTCACTTGCTGCAGATGTTTGGACAGCTTTATCTTGCTTTAATTTAGCCCCTGGTTAGAAATCTTGTAAAGTCAGAGGAGAGGAACAGGAACTTCCAGAAGACAAACCATGTTTCCCTAGAATAGGCATGGGACACCAGTGGCATGCCTTGCCTGCTGGAAGTATCTGCCCACTATGAAAGCAACTACTTGACCCTACTGGCTAAAGGTGATGGAAGTGAAGAGAGATGAAACCTGTTTGGAGGACCATAGGCTTATCTCCCTCGAGATCTTGTACGAAGCTCAGTCCAAAGCACTGGCTGTTTTAGTGACCCTGTTTTTTATCCCCCCAGGTTTTCAAGCTGACACGAAGCAATGTGGATGATGAAAAGACTAAGATCCTGGCCCGTAACTTGCTGGATCACCCCTGCTTGGTGGAGCTGAATTTGTCCCATAATCTCATCAGGGACAAGGGGGCACAAGCTCTTGGCAAGCTGATCAGTCGCAGCAAATTAGAAACCCTCGATCTGTGCAACAACCAGATCCATCACCTGGGGGCTCAGGCTCTTGCTCAAGCCCTGGCTGAGAAGTCCACCCTGACCTCCCTGAATCTGCGCCTCAACTGCGTGGAGGACAAAGGCGGGGAGGCGATTGGGCATGCCCTGCTGACCAACACCACCCTGAAGTCCATCCATCTGGGAAGTAATAACCTGTCAGAGGCAACTGCTGCAGTGTTCTCCCAAGTCCTGGCTCAGAACACCACCCTGAGGAGCATCAACTTTTCATGCAACCAGCTGGGGCTGGTAAGAAAACCCACTTCTCCTTGCAGTCTGTGAAGCCTGTGTGGTGACCTTGAAAAGCAGATGCTGTGCCTGCCCTCCCTCAAAGCCACAGAGGCAAATGCATCCTTCGTTTTGCAATCTTGCTGTGATGACAATCAGTTGCGAGCAGGAAAGAGACTCTAGCAGAGGGCGGGAAGGAGAAGGACACCTTCTGTGTGTGCACATATATTTATCTCACTTGCTACATCTAGCTCTGTGCACAGGGCTGAATCTGGCTTTGAGGCTTTGGGCTTTTGGGCAGGGAGGGATTCCCCCTCCCAGGAAACTGAACACCAGAGAGTATGTCTGGGAAAAATCACAGCCACTTTGCACATGTGAGAATAGTTAATAATGATGGGTGACATGAGATGAGGGCCTCATGCATATCCTCTGTGCTTTGGATCTGCTGTGCCATCTGTCACTCAGCAGCACACAGATAGTGTCACCCTTCCCAGAATTTCTCCCATCCATCGCATGCTCAGAGGAGACTGTTAGAAAATTGGCTCAGTTGCTGAGCTTCTTCAACTCACCCTGCAGCCCTGGAGCGGTGCGCTGGGTCACAAGTGTCACGTCTGGGTGCTTATAAGTTGCTCCTAAAACACGGGCTTACATTTTCTAGGCAGAAGAGCATCCACAGATCTTACGACATCCCAAAGAGCTGCAATATGCAACATGCACACAAACCAGACCGCTTCTCCTCTGCCGATTAAAAAGAGCTTTAGAAATCCGAAACTAGGCAGCCAAAAGCAATCATGCTGGCTTTTAAACTTTCTGTGCTGCCTCAATTATTCTCACTGTCAAATAAAGAGACAGCAAGACCAGCTGTCCCTGCTGGCAGGAATATTGGCATCAATGTGTTTGACAACGGTTTTAAAAGGATTTGATGGCAGAAAACCTTTTGTGAGCTCTGAGTTTTATGGTCCTGGATGTGGAAAACCATTTGAGTGTAATGATACAAGTGGGCAAAGGTTGGAAGGTTTTTGTTTAGTAAATAATAATCTCTATGCTTAGCATCTTCCTTCTGATAGCTCTCCTGTTACCCATTTGTGAAGCCTCACAGCAGCCCAAAAGTCAGCTGGTGGTATTATCTTTGCAGAAATTGGGGGTTTTGCTAGACATGCACTAAATTCTGACCTCTGTACCCCATTACAAAGAGACTCCTTCCCAGTCCTTTTTGCTCTGCCCATTTTGGCAAAAGGGCTAAGAGGCAGGGTGCTGGGACGAGGGGACCATCTGGATGGAGGAGATGGGGCAGGAGGTGTATTTGGTGCCTGAAAGAGAATAGCTAGGATGGTAAAAAGTTCAATTTTTCACATCTCTAATACCTTTGTTTGGGTAACAAAGGGAAATGCCCCAGAGCGAGTTACCTCCCTAAGGCTATCTACATCACATGTTCTGTCCCAAGCAGGCTGGACCTCAGTTGTGTGAGATGTTCCCCTCAGGAAAGCCAACCCAGCCTGGGAAATGGCATCCAGGCAGGAAACTGCCGGTGCTGGGGCTCACACCACTGATGAGAGGAGGAGCAGGATGAGGAGCAGTACACTAATCACACTGCCATTTGTCCTCAGCCAGCAGTGAGCTGGGGACTGGGGGACAGGGGGAGCAGACTCCTCTCAGGTTATCACTGCCAGACAGACGTGTTATTAACCAGCCTGAGCTTGAGAACTCCTGACATGGTACCCAGAGGGAGTCATTAGCATGTGTCATATCACTGAGAGATGCATAAGGTTACACTCCTTCCCTGCACTTCTCCTGTAAGAAACATTCAGGCTTCGGTGAAGGCCTTCATCCCTTTCGGCAACATCTCATGGACTTTCCACTGCCAGCAGCAGAAGTTGCCCTGGGGAGGAGAGAAAAGGAGCAACGCACCTCCCTTTTGGATCTCCTCCTTTAACCACCCCTTCTCATCCTTTTGCAGGATGGTGGGAAGCAGCTGCTTGAAGGGCTGGCAGACAACAAGACTTTGACTGAGCTTGACCTCCGCCAGACAGAGGTGGACCAGGAGGCTGAGTACCTCATTCACCAAATTGTGTGGGCCAATAGGGAAGCAGTGAGGCTGCAGCACACCACCACCAAGCCCCCCTGAATAAAATGCTCCAGAGCAATGAGCTTGGGAGGCACAGTGTTAGAGATACTTTACTTCAAAGTCTTGGTTTTATTTGTATTCCTGAGAAACACTTAATCTTGTGGCTGCTATCGCAACCTTTCCCAGGCCCCCATCATCCAACCTGTGGCTTAATAGGAGACAGACGTAAGACCTCAAGGGGCTGTAGTGGCACCACAGAGCAATCTGCGTCTTGAGCCCCCAGATTATATTCCACTTCCTGTGGTGTTTCTAACGTGCCCCAGCAGCCAGCTTAATTCAGGTAACTGTTCCACCTGTAAAGCAGCTGAGGTGAAGTCTCTGCCATCTAAACATAGTCCAGAGCTAACTTTCAGGACAGGCAGTTTTTTTAAGCATTTTGCTGGGGAGGATGTGAGATGCATAGGGGATTGAGGGAATGTTGTTTCTAGTTCCTTGGCAGCTTTTTCTGGATACTGCCCTGCTCAAGAATTTATTTGTATTTATAGCAAAATCTGTCTGGAGTCTGATATGGATGGTGAAAAGCAGTAAGAAATAAATTCAATAAATTTTAGGTCTCACCACTGTGGTTTCCTGCTTTGGGTTGCTACGCCTTTGATCAGTGCTAGCCTGCTTTGCAAACAGGTGAATTCTTTATAACCAGAGGCTTACCTTGCCTAGTAGTGATCTTCTGTGCAAACTTGTACAAAAAAACCCTGTGTTTTGCAAAACTTCAAGCTAGAGGGGTCCCTGCGGGACTGCTGGCCCACACAGCCCACAGTATTGAAAACGGAGGAGTTTCTTTGGAGTTGGAACAAAATGGAGCGGCTTCCTTTTGCTCTACAGGCCATGGCCACCTGAGGAAAGGACAGGGCACATACTTGACTGCCTTGGTCCTTTGACCACCCCATTGAGGAGATGTCATCAGGGAATTCAGCAAGTGGGCTGACTTCCATCCCCTCCTGCCCTCTGAGCAATTGTATGGGGGCTTCACATGCCTCCACACCTGCCCAGCACCAGTGCTCACAGACCCACTGCTGGCAACCACCTCAGTGAATCATCTGAAACTTTTATTACACCGATTTGGTTTACAATCTTTGTACTTTGATATTTCCAACAAAAAAGGCAACATTGTGATATACTGTTTGTACATATATAGAGAGACAGACAGAGCTAGATCATATTGACAGAGTTGAAAAGTAAAAACTGTTTCCCAGTGTTCACAAAAGAATTTATCCACCACGTACCCGCTTCTGCCTTGCCCTGCCTGATGGATACAGACACCTGTGGTGCCGCCGGCCCCCGGCCGACGGGACCTTTACCTGCACCGTGTCACACCCGTACAGATCAGAAGGATGGAGTGCGAGGCTGTCCCCTGTGGCACTGGCCACGCAAGGAGCGCGGACAGGGCTCAGCCCCAAGCCCTCACAAGTTTGCGTAGCTCCCTTCTCAACTACTGATGGAGGCTTCAGGGGCTACATCTGCAAGAATTCCTAAGCAGAACAAGCAGCTGTGAAACCTCCCTATCTGGGCATCTCCCACTACTTGTTTCCCATCCTCGAGACCGAGGTATTGAATATACTTATTTATTTTTATTTGCATTTACAAAATATTTCCACTGGATGACACACCTCAATGAGATGAGAACTCATGTTCAGAAACAGCAGAAAAGACCCAGATCAGCATTAGGCTGATGAAGCAACAGCTCCAGCAGTGAGGGTGGTGGCTTGATGGGGGTGGCCTGGTCCTGAGCAAGCTTGCCTGTAGCTCCAAGGACAGGGCTGCAGCTAGTCAGCCAGTTGTGCAATGAAAGCTCATGCTGGGAGGGCAGCGATGAGATCCTACAGACATGCTAGCAGACACACGAGGAGGAATTGACTGCCAGAGCAGTGAGAACAGGGGAAGGAAAGAAAAGGGCTTGGGAAAACATGTCATCACCAGAAAAAACTGCTGGCTTGCTTTCCAGGATATTCACTGCTCCTTTTCCAGCAAACAGTCCTGAGACTGTTAACACCACCTAAGTACCCTCCAAATCCACTCCTGGGCTGCCACAGGCAGGAATGCCTGGACAGGTAGCTGTTGCCTGGAGAACCCTTTGCCATCCCTCCCATCAATCTCTTGGCCAAAGAGCAAAGCCCACACCAAGCCGCCTGCACCACATGCCCACACCCAAGACTAAGAATCAACTATCCGCCAGTCTGCAAGGGCTGAAACCACTTCAAATGCCACATGTTGGCTAAAACTGAAAGGTCTGCCAGCAACAGCAGATTGTATGAATGTAAACATTTCCACTGTTGGTGGGTCGCTTGTCAGCTCCAGGTCCAGTTACCACACAGTGGGACTGCCTTCCAGAGCGGTAACTAGCTGGTCACTCTGTGCTGGGAAAGGAATGTGCCTGCGCAGGGCCAGGACAGACCCCTTAGCTCTCCTTTGAGATCTATTCCCAAGGAGTACTGTCAAGCTTTGAGGAGGGGGGTCAATCTGTGGGCCTCTGTCTGGAGGAGGGAATGACCTCCAGCACTGTCACCACCCACCAACACTGCATGAGTGGCACTCAGCTGTAGAGGCACCCCAGCCAAGCTGGGAACATCCCCCAGCCCATGGATCTGCGTCAGAGAGACGGGGAGAGATGAGGGTGGCCGGAAAGTAAAGGAGGGGGAATGACACAAGGGCTTGCACTTGGGCTATGCCAGCGGGTGCCCCATCAGGCTGGAGCAGGGGTGCCCGGCTCGCTCCGTCATGGAGCAGATGGCGAACCCGGCTTCCGCTGCTCTGAGCAGAGCGCACGTGGCAGCAGGAGTCGGTGGCCAGCTTCCCAAGCCTGACGGCTTCTGCTCACAGAGACCCAGGCATGGATTTGCAAGGTGTCACAGTGGCATATGTCGCAAACAGGACAGCAGGCTGATTTGAGCACTGACTGGGGGAGGAGGAGCAGACTGCCACGGCGATGGGCAGAGGCTGTGCATTGAAATGATTGCTGTTCAGCCTCCCTTTGCTCCCATGGAGCAGGATTTGTCCACACTGAGCTTCTTCCCTGCCCGCTGGATACTTGCTGGCCCTCTGCACAGTCAGACAAAGTGCTAGTGGCTGGGGTTCAACAGCAGGGGGGAAAATGGGTGTCCTGCGCATTGCCTCTAGGACATCACAGTGAAGCTATCTCTGGACAGGGTGAGGGCTTGAGCTGGGGCAGGCTCAGAGAATTTCCAGATTGCCTCTTATAGGGGCAAACTATGAAACTGAACTGGGGAGGAAACAGCATGCTTGTAAAACATGGCATCAAGCGCTACTGGCCTGAAATGCACAGTCCAGCCCATACAACTCTACAACCCAGACAACTCACACAAGCTCTCCTCATTGCTGGGGACCTACCAATTTATGGCACTGACCTCTACATCACCACCCCTGTCCTGTGTGCAGCAGTCTGCCTCCAAACTCCTCTACCAGCTAGCCCCATGCACCACCCTGCTGACAGGGAGCTTTTGGCTAACCTAGATCCTTTCCTGCTTCTTCCTTCAGTTGCAGTGAAAAGGGACAAAACCTGAGCTCATGCGACTGGGAAGCTGGGGAGTGGCACAGAGCCAAACCCTGAATTGGTTTCCCTAGGTGGAGGGGATGGCTCAGAAATGCAGCATTCCTCCTCCCCACAGGGTGTGCCTGAAATAGCCAAGCCTGTCAGATCCCTGTCTCCGGCCGTGATGGATTAGCCTCTTCAAGGCACAGGGCAATTTATTCATTAGTGACATTTACACCTTGTGGCTGCATTAGCCATCACGGTTGGTGACACGTGCTCAAGCTGTCAGTGCTGGGCTTAGAGGCAACATCGCTGTTCCAGCAGTGCAGCAAGACATGGCCTGGGCACCTCAGCTTGGGAATACCTCCTGCCTGTCTTCTCAGCCAGAGCATGCACTGACTGCTTTGTCTCTTGGGAACCACTCTGTTCCCAAGCGTCTCCACCAAACACCCTGCTCCCTTTGTTTCCTCCCCCCCCACTCCCTGCCTTGCAGCACCGCTGTTCCAGCACCGCAGCCTCCTGCCCTGTCTTGCCTTCTATAAAAACCACTGCACCCGCAAAAAAACTTGTTCTCCTACCAACCCTCCTCTCCACACCTTGCTGAGCATCCACATGCTATTCTGCCCTCCATCAGCGCGCCTTGAGCAGCCCGCAGCAGAGCTGCCCTCAGCCCCAGCAGAGAAGCACAGAGCACACATTTGGAGACTCCAGTGGACGTGCTGCTTTTACCATGATGCTGTCCTCTGCCCTCACACTGCCACAACAGCCAACCTGCCTCACCTCCCCAGGGGCAGCACCAAAGATCTGGGGACCGGGACCACCAAAATGTCAAGGCCTTCTGCTTTCTAACTTTGGTCTGTTGAACTTACCCTGATTACCGAGGCTCAGACAAGTGCTGTGTGAAATTCTCTGGAAAACCACAAGGTGATACCAGGATGTACTGCTGCAGCTCTCCCCCAAGCAAGGAGGAGGTATGCCAGGGCAGGGAGCACTGCTGGAATGCTGCACACCAGCAGGGCATTGTGAGTTCTGCCCACAAGCACGCTTGAGGTCATCATGTGTCTGCTGGCATTTCATGGCTGGCCCACAGCACCCAGCAGGGACAGGACCCAAATGATGTGAACACACAGCCTCAGAGGAGTTCAGGGGAGAGGGGTCCTTTGGCTACCTCACAGGAATGACAGTTTTCCCATCGGGTTTGGGGAGGGTGGGAAGAGACGGAAAGCATTGTCCAGGGAGCAGATCCAGCAGCTCTCCTGTTTCAGGCAGCCAGCAATGGATTAGCTTGTTCTCAAACACAGCTTGCTCCATGCTTTTATCCCTGCTCCCTGGCACTCACTGCAGCAAATGTGACACTTCACACCATCTTCTCACAGAAACCAGGTCAGGAGTTTCCTCTCGCAAGGAACAAGCAACGCTCTGTCACCCTGAAGAGCCCTTGCCGCAAAGGTAGATGGGTGTCACCAGCCCAGAGCCACAAACACACCAACCCTCTGCAGGGCCACAGGTCCCAGCTGTGCACACAAACATGCAGAAGCCCACCCTGCCATGCGTGCGTGTGTAGGTGGATGGCCAGGTCACACCTCAGAGGAAGACTTTAAACTCCAGCCTCTGTTCCAGCCTACCCCACTGCGAAGCCACAGGGCCACCCTCCCAATCTGCCTTGAGCATTTCTTCTCCACCAACACAACAAGGGCTGGAAGGAGTGGAGAGTTTAAACCCACCTCACCCCCAAAAATTATTTTTTCTTTAAGGAAGGAACAGCAACACAAAACACTTCTCACAACTGTTAAGGCCTCCTAGTCTCATTTCAGTTTGAAAAAGATGTTGGCATTCCCAGTGTGAAATCCTGTTATTTTGGGGTCTAATTGTCACTGCTGTTTCCCACTGGCTGAGCTGTGCCGTGCATTTTGCTCCATCAGACATATCACTACTCTCATTCCCCTCTGCTTGGCCCCTGGGGACAGGCTCTTCCTGGGGGGCAGGTGCAGCACAGAGCCCACCAGCTCCTGGCACGGCCGAGCAGGAGGTGATGCCTGCTTTCAGCTGATCCTCCCCCTGCATCTGCTTCAGGAGATGTGCTAGACTCAGGCTTGTGTTTTTCCAAACTTTTACCCTGACTGGTTCATGGGCTGCCATCCAAAATCCGAATTCATGGCACAGCAGCTGACAGCGCTGCTAATGGACATTGGGACCATGGGACTGATGCAAAGTACTACGTCATCTCACCACATTCTAGCTAGGATTTTTCTTTCGCTAATGTGAGTAGCTAAGATTGCAGAAGCAGCTTGTGCTGATGGAGAGTGAAAGAACCTCATGTGTCTGTGTGTGAAGTTATTTTGTTCTACAAAATCCGTTAAATTTTAATCACAGTAGGTGATCCATCCATTCACGAAGTTCAAAGGACTGGGGAGGGTTCAGGATGGGCACCAATATCTCACAAGCTTCATTTCCCCCAAATGAAGTTTACAAAAACGGAACAAACAAAATGGCCCAACAAAAACAGTCTTCCTTGGGAATGGGGGGAGGAATAAAACCCACTTAGCTTTCCAGCAGCCTCTGTGCTTATTCTCGGTGCCGGATGGCCATGCTGCACATTGTAATGAGCTCCTGAAAACTTGGCAGCTTCTGGAAGAGTTGCATAGGTGGATGATATACCTGTTAGTAGAGCCTGTGTATGAGCCTGTGTATGAGGAAGAGGAGCTTGCTGAACTCCACAGGGAAACCGTCCCTCCCCCAAGACAGACATATGAGGTAAGGAGGGAAGAAGGAAGGGCAGGCCACGAGGTCATGGGTCTTGCCGGTTCAGTTCTGTCCTTGGGACCTCTTTTCCCTCAGGTGCAGAAAGGTTATGGTCCTGTGGGAGAAGGTTCCTCTCCCATTGCTGTGGAGGTCAGTTTGCTTGTTAGCTTGCTTTTGAGAGAGTTGACGAGATCACATCCACGGGCATAACGTTCCCCTTGGTGGAGCAGCTGTGATGGAGGCAGTAGAGCAGAACAATTCAACCCACTGCTTGCAAAAACAGTAGATATTCAACATTCATTTATGTTGGTCAAGTCCCAACACAGATTCTATACATCAAAGCAACACTGTGACAAATCAATTTGTCTGGACTCAAAGACAAACCCCCTCCAAGGAGCTGCTAAGCCAAGCTCACATTAGTATAGTACCACTGGCTTCAATAAAATTACACTAGGAATGAGCATAGCCCATTAATTTCTACCTGAAAAGTGACTATGCTCGTTTCCACTTTTTCCAGAATGCCCACAGGGGAAACAGCCCCAGGTGGGCTCAGCCCCAGTTCCCCACTGGGTTCCCAGGTCCTATGAACCAGCCTTTGGTCCCCATGCATACCTGGCTCAGTGGAGACTCTATGCCCAAGTGCATCACAGGAGGCAGCAGCACCAAACAGAGCTATCACTTACACCATGTCTCATTTCTGAGATCACCGGGATACAGATCATATTCACACAGACCTTATTCTAATATGAACATGAATGAAACATGATCAGAAGCACATATCCCAACTTGAGACTTACAGCTCTTTGGTAACACAACATCTTGGTGGTAGTATAGTATTTCAGACCCAGACCCTACAGCTACTGCAGCAGAGAAGGAGCACACTGCAGCAAGGTTGCACCCTGCTCATGTAAGGCAGTGTCCTGGTGATATTAGACAGTTGTACTGAAGCTGTGCTTGGAAAGGTTGGAAGAAGAGCTGAAAAGGTGTTATTTGTCCCATTGGCTAATCAGCAGGCACTGTTCTACTGACATCGGATGCTACTTAACTTTCTTCAACTTCCACTTAATAAACCTTTTCCTGCAGTCCTCTCCCCATGGGCATCCATCAGTTATTAAACATCTCTCCAGCCCTTTGAGTGAAAAGACAACAAAGAGAGCAGGGACTGGCTGGATCTCTAATGTGCATTTTATGGGGAGCAGAAAGGGAGGGGGATGTTCAGCAGCTTCCCCGGCCTTAATACTGCACCTTTGCCTGGTGTGTGATTCTGGAAGGCCCAGGCTTGGCCATAAGCTGAGATTCCCTCTACCCATCGTAACAAATGCCCCTACAGCTGCTCACTCTGACAGCCCTCTCTGAAACCTCCTTCCTTGGTGTGGTGTGAGACACGACATGCAGCGGGCTCAAGAAGTACCACCAGGCTGGCTGGTGTCACTGACCAGTTCTGCACAAGCAAAGTGCCAGGTGCTATCTGGGAAGCTTCCAGTGTGCTGAAAGATAGATAAATGCATGGCCATGTGTCTGGAAGATGAGCTAATTCAGAGCTTCTTAAGTACCTGACAAACATACTGACAGCAACAGCAAACATCAAATAGCCCAAACTTTTTGTCCACCTTTGCAGCAGTAAGGACTAGCTCCTCTTCTGGGATGCATTAGCACCATGAAGGGCCAGGAAGAGGAGCTGGTAGCATTCCTGTCTCACTCCTTCTAGTATGTGAGGAAAGCTTGCTGATAAGTGCAATGCTGAGCCTGACTCTCAGCCCATGGAAAGCTGCAGTGGGTGAACAATGCATGGAAAAAAACCTAAGCCATCTGACTGTGGAGATCCTCTAGTTATTGCCCACATCATACTGACAAGCACACAGCTTTCACCTTCCCACAGGGCGATGTGCACTATCCCGCTTTTCTTGTGGAAGGGGCCAGCACCTCTGTGTACTCCACTCACTTTGAGGAGATCTTCTGCTCTGGAAGTGAGGATACAGCCTCCCTGACAGACCAAGGCATTGCTCGCACCTTTGGCCCTCTCCTCTTGCCCAGGCCGGGCTCAGAGCAGGAGTGACATACTCACTACACAGGGAAATCTTCTGCACCACCACTCAAACCAGGGTTTGGCAAGTGAGATCAAGACCCTGGGATTGGTGAAGGGAAGGCTACAGAGACCAGGTGATGCCTGCTTGTGTAGGGAAGGCTGGGGAAAAAGGAGCAGAGCCAATTAGACACACCAGTCAATGAAGGAGAAGTAATGGGATTAAGATACAGCAGGGAGAATTCAGGTTAGATATAAAGGAGAAGGCTATCATGAGAGGAGCCATCGAATGAGCTGCCAAAGGAATCGTCATCACCAACACGGACACGGCACAGAGCAGACACAAGTCTGCAGGAGGAGCAGATGCCTGACTGCTGCTCAGCCCGGAGCTGTGGTGGGTGGGTGGGTGGCTGTGTGCTGAGGAGATGGGACAACTCCACAATGGAGAGGCTGTGCTGCCAGAGCAGGGACACACCATCTCTGGGTATCTGTGCTAGTAACCTGCGCCATAAGGAGAATTGTATCAGCTGCCCTTTATCCACTACATCAACACTCAGGAGGAAACTTGTACACAGTCTTTGCTGGTGGTGTCGATGCCAGGAGAGGGAAGGGAGAGCCCAGTTTTCTGCTCTGAACTTCCCTGCCTAGCTAGACGTGTCAGGAAGAACCCCAGTTTCAGTCTGTCCTCTTCAGCTCTACCACTTCTTTGCCAAGCCAGCAGGCAGCTCCTGTTCCTCCTGCCCAGCCCTGCTCCCTTACCATGTCCACGTGTGCCGTTCCCCTTTTCTGAGCCTGAAGCAGGGCACGAATATCTCCACCCTTGCGAGAATGGAGTAGCATGGACCAGGGGGCAGCTCCACCAGGAGTAGTGGGGTAGCAGGGCCAAGAATATGAGGAAGGGGACCTCTGAGAAATCCTGGCATCCAGCAGGAAGCACTAGCTAGAGAGGTCCCACTTCTCGGGGTATTGAGGATCTGGGACAGCCACAGACAGCAGCACTGGGACTATGTCTGGGACCTGGCTGCAGCTGGCACCAGGTACACGGGGAAGGTGTTCAGCAACAGGAAGACTGTACGGATCCTGCTGGTCAGAGCAGCAGCCATGCCTCGAAGATCTATGTGTTCACCTGGACAGACCACCTCCAGAATAAGATTTCACAGGAGAAAATGGGGCAGAGGAACAAGATGAGGCATTCTCATGGAAAGCCCCAGAAAGAGCCAAGGACACAGTGCCTGCAACTCTGCTGCAGGCGCTAAAGGATGGGGGGCCCAGAGACCCTGCTAATCTCTCCCTATACTGAAGACTGTCTTTGCCCCAGGGAGCTAAAAGGCCTGCCAAATCTCAGATAAATCCATCTGTCCAAGGCACCTTGGATGCTGGAGATAGAAAGATGAGCCATCACAGCCTAATTTAAGCAATGTGTAGGAAATTTCAAAGAGAATATGCCAGCAAAGACAAGGTGACCACATTTCTTTCTCACTAATGACCCGTTGCAGCTCCACTGTCTCAGTTCACTGGGACATACAAGAACACACCATTATCTCCCCAGAGTCACGTGGACTCTCAACATTGGCCTTGGCTTACATTAAGCCCTTGGAGAGAGAGGCACAAATGCACAGCAAGCCAAATGTCATTACTGAGCAAGGAAATCCCAGGGTTGCTTTCACCCGGTCTGAAACTGTGCCAAAAATAATGAGAACAAAACGCAGAGAGGGATGTGCCCATACCAGAGAACTTATGCTTCTCTGGCCTCCCAGGGACCCTCTTTAAGCCAACATCTAAGACTAGTGCAAGTAAGGGCAGATGACAAGACAGAATCATAACAGAGTGAGATTTTAAGGGACTTTCTGTTCAAACCGCTCTTCTCCAAACTCCTGTCTGGAGTCTGGAACTTGGGATTCAGGAGGATAAGCTGACTTGAAGGGCAAGAAATGCTGACCAGGATACACAGGGCATGAAGAGCAGAAGAGACTGCTCTGGGGGAAAAGACAAGCAGAGCCCTACAACACCCACAGGTGATGACCGTTCCAGGCTTGCCAGCAAGAGATAATTTTCAAGAGGACTGATGTTGGTGCATGGGTGCATTTGCAGCCTCCTCAAGACCTGGGAAGCAAAGTAATTCAGCAGCATGATGAGAGAAACAGAGCCCTCATTAGTAGCTGGCAGGAGGAAGACAGGCTGGACTAAAGACAATGCCTCACTGTTTGCTGTTACATCTCGCCTTTCTGCGACGGATGTGAAGGCAGACATGCCTCAAATGCCCACTTGCTAAAGGACTTACCCTTGTCACCCAAGACCTACTGCTTTTAGCTGTTGTTTGCCCCATCTGATGAAGGAAGTGTGGTGGGGCTGAAAAGCAGTGCTGTTTGGAGAAACTGCTGGCTGATTTGGCACGTACTTCCCCAAAGAGCTGACTGGAAAGGAGACAGCTTTTCTTAGGAAAAACTGGGTGTCTGCATGCTGCAGCCACTGACGAAGCTTCAGTGACATGAAGGCTCCTTGTCCAGTGTCACCAAGATCCCTTCCAACAGGATAGAAGGGGCAGCACAAAGCTCAGAGCAACCTGCCAGGGGCTAAAGGGCTACACAGAAGTCACATCACTTCTCACAGCCTGATAGCTCCCTGCAAAAAAATCTGTAGTGCAAACTGCTCGGTTTTAACCAGGTTCCCCTCTAACACATCCCTGGCCTCTGTTCTGGAAAGCATTCTTCATGGAAGATGCCTCCTGCATGGGTCCTGCATCCACAGTGGGCTCTCACAGAAAGGGAATCCTTTTGCTCCTCATTTCCCCAGCCCAGGTTCTCTATGCTCCTGCATGCTTTTGCATTTCTCCATCCTAGGCCCTCAGAGCTCTCTCCCAAAACCAGGCTGTCAGGAGCCTGCAGCTCAGAGTCCACAGCCAGAGCCCAGCTGGATCTCATGCAAAATTCACTCATGCAGACATGCACCAACCTGCTGCTCCATTATCAATAGGTGAACTGCAGCTGAACCTACCAGAGCCTTCCTTGATGCTTGTCTGAATCAATTAAGGACTCAATTCAAAGACAGGAAGGGTCCCCAGCCACCTGACGTGCCACCTGATACCATGATGCCGCCTGTCCCAGTGCCATCCTCTTCCCCTTCCCCAGCTCATCAGGGGCCTACCGTTTTCTCTTTCCAGCTGAGCCCTCCTCCAGCAAACACATCGGTAGCGCTGCAGATCTCTGCTCCATCTGGGTTTGCACATTCATCCCTTCCCCAGTGCTGTGTGCCCAAACAGAAAACCCTTTACCTAGGGGATGCTGACTCAGAGCTGGCATGCCGAACCTTCCTAAGGAGCCTGGGATCCTCTGGAGGCGATGCCATTCCCAGCAGTGAGAACAGAGTAACAGTCGGAGCATGGTCTAAAAAAAAAAAAATGGGGAGGGTGGGGAACAGTTGGGGGGAAGGGAAAGAGCTGGATTCATGGCTTTCAGCCTTTGCTTTAACCTGCCGCTCCATCCACGTGCCAGGATGTCCCAGACCTTCCGTTACAGGCAGTTACACCCTGCTCCCAAAGGGCCCATTCCCCTCCACATTGCAAGGGGTCTTGCTCCAGCACGGGAAGCAGGGTGGGCTGAGGTGCAGCAAAGCGCTTTCTGGTGGCTGCTGGTTCCTCAGAGCATGAGCCAGCCTGGAGCCAGGGCTGGGAGCCAAAGCCATCCCCTCCCTGCATCAGGCCTGTCTTTTTATTCTCCCCTTTGGATCTTGATGCCATGAATTACAGTTTTGTGGTTGGTTTGGTTGAATTTTTTTTTTTTTTTTTTTTGCACGTGGTGGTTGGTCTAGAGTTCTGTGCCACATCAGGGGAGCACCAGCACCCACCCCTCTGGGAGGTCAGAGCCACAGTGGGGGGAGCCTTTGCTGGCTGATGGAGCGAGATGCCACGTCCACTCCATCCTGATGTCCTCTTAAGCCTGTCGCCCCTGTGCTCCTCTCCCCAGATCCTGTGGTGGCTTGTGCCAGGCAATGGACAATGAGATCTCACCGCCCTCTGCTTTCACAGTGAGGTCTCCACGCAGGACCCGTTGCGATGGAGGTGACGGTGGTCGTGGTTCAGGCAGCCTTCGTTGCGGTGTACGATGAGAACGGGGAAGTAGAGTGCATCCTGGTAAGGAGGGGGGTCTTCCTCCTCCACAGTCACCTGGCTGGAGAGGCGTGTCTGCTCAGTGGGGCAGCTCTGCTCGTTCAGGCTCCCACTCCGGCTCTGCCAGAGGCAGCTGCGTCGCGAGCCGTACAGGCGGCCCAGAGAGAAGCGGCTGCTGCTGAAGGGAATCCTGGGACTGCCGTTGCAGATGCTCAGAGCACTGCGGGAGAAGATGGAGGAGCTGCTTATAGTCCTGTGGCATCGCTCGCAGTTCTGCCGGTAGCCCCCGTACCGGCACGCAGAGTAGCTGGTGCAGCCGGAGAGCCCCACCAAGTCCATCAGGACCGCTTCCGAGTAGCTGGGCACCAGCTGCTGGTTGGATCGTATGTGCCACTCCAGCTCGGTGCTGTCCACCGTGTTGACGCGGGGCATCCTCCGGCAGAAGGTGCGCTCCTCGGCCGGGGTCACTGCCACGTAGTCGAACCCAAAGAGTTTCTCCACGTGGTAATGGACATAGGAGGTGCGGTACTCATTTAGCACCCTCAGGGGCCAGGATAGGGTCAGCAGAGCTGCCACCCAGAAGACATAGTGAGATACATACCAAGGCAGGTTGTCTGGGTCGGAAAAGGCCACCATGTATTCCTTGAAGTCCACATTTTTGAGGTGCATCCCCTCCCTGGCCTCCATGTAGTCATCTAGGCCCTCGTTCTCTGTGAAGAAGCGGGCCCGCTGGGTCAGATAGGAGTTCTCTGACTCCACATTGGCAAAGCTGAAACACTTGGTGAAGCGGAGCCGCGTGGCCGGGTAGCTCTCCAGGTCAATGAGGTCCTTGGAGATGTCCTTAACTCCACAATTGGAATAATCGAACTCAGCCTCTGCCACATGGGTGTTGACCCGCTCGTGATACACTTGGGTGGTGGTGTAGGCATCCCCGTTGCGGTAGCGGGTAACCTGCCGGGTCCTGCGGACGTAGTGGTAGCTGATGGCCTTCCACCAGATGCAGGGAGTCGCCTGCTGCATCCGCTGCACACGCTCGTGCACGCTCTCCACGTCCACTTTGTATTGCAGCTCGTTGCGGGTGTAGCAGTGCCAGCACTCCACCAGGTACACCACGTAGAGCATCACCAGGAAAGCCAAGGGGATGTAGACGTAGCCGTTGGAACAGGGGCTGTCGTGGTACATCATGGACTTGCCTTTGTAAGCGCTGTCAAAGGTCAGCCGGGTCACCTTGGTGACGTGGCACCATGTCATGGCTCCCATGCAGCCGTACATGAGGAGGGACAGCAGCAGGCATTTCCAGTGGGACTCTCGGCACAGAGACTTGCTGAGAGACTGCTTCACTGGCCGCTGCTGCTCCGGTGGACCGGGGAGAAGGGGAGAGAAAACAAGAGAGGAGTCAGTAGGGTGCAGAAGCAGAGGGAAGGGGAGAAGGCAGCAGGGTGCTAGGGTAGCACCTATAGCTCTGTGGAGACAAAACTGTCAGGCAGATGCCTGGGGCTCCCAGCCTCAGCAGGCAGGCCAGAGGATCTCTCCCAGAATGACAATCACACAGTGCAGGCAACTGTCACCCCCACTTCCCTTCATGGTGCTCTGCCCTTCCTCGGGAGACATCCCAGCTGGATGTGAAGAAGAGCGGTAGAGGACAGCTCTGCTGGCCATGCCCCAAGCATTCCCCTTCTTCAGCGGGGAGTAATCCCTGCCACTGCCCCATCCTGGGGAGGGGTGATGAAGCACAATAAGGTAGAGGCTGGTGGATTTCTCCCACATACATCAGCTTCCACACCCATCCCACCAGGGCAGGCAGCTCTAACTGATGGGTCGTCCCACCTGAATCCCTCCCCACAGCTCATCCCAGTGCACCTCTCACTGCTCACACACCAGTCGCTCCCCTCTTCCAAGTAACGAGCACCAGCAATATTCCAATTCCTCCCACCAGGGCAGCACAAGCTACCTGGAGTGCCTGTAAGGTGGAGAAACAGACCTTCTGCAGCTGGGAATGTCTCTGTTTGGTAATGGCAACGGCAATTCCCACACAACGTTTGGCAGCCTAAGGGGCTCTGAAGTGCTTTTCAAGTATAAACCTCACCAACGGGAAAGTACTTTTCCACAACTGAAATGCAGCCACCTCTGGCAGGAGAGAAAGCAAATATGGAATAACATCCTAAAAAGTGTTCAGGCTGGAAGAGCATCCCACCAATCTGCAGCAGCAGGGAGGGCAGGAGGCCACTCATGGCTGCTAGCAAATGTCCCTGCTTGTGCTGGGATTCAGCTGTGACAGCCCACACTTCCAGAAACTGCTCGCAGGTCTTTTACGGTGAGGGAAGGACAGAACTTCAGCAACAAGACTTTTTAAAGGGACTAGTGCCTTGGTGCCCTGGTGTCTTTACCACAGGAATAATTTGCACAGGGTTTCACACAGACCCATGAAAAAACCCCTGGTTAAGGAAACTTCCGTCACTCTGCAACACTCTGCAGTCTCAAGTATTGATCCACCTTGGTCTGTGAGACCTGACATCATCCCACTCAAAGAAAGATTTTCTGCTTTCTTACATATCCAGCAATTTCCAAATGTGTAACCTGAGAGAGGGGGGCAAGAACTCCATCGCTGTGCAGATGCCACAAAACTCACTAAGAGGCTTTCAGCTTTGCTCTCCCTCCCCACCTGCACGGAGCACGGAGCACCCTCTGCCGTGGCAGGGGCTAACGCCAGCTGTAATGGCACCACTCATGGCACTGAAGTCCAAGCCTGGCTCCATTCTTCTTCATTCCTGAGCACACTGGGCTGGACAGGTTTCTTACTCAGGGATCCCAAAATTGCTGAATGGGCTCACACTGCTAGAAAGCAGGAGGGGCACTTCCACTCTGGCATGAAAAGGAAAATTAAAGCAAGAACCAGAGATCACAAGGCCACTGGCAGGTCTAGGGAAAGATTTGGACCTCTTTAAGAAATGTGTCTTGCTCTCCTGAAGAGCCCCTAAGTGCTGGCTTGGTCCCCTAGAGTCCCACAGGCTAATCTTTCCTCCCTACACCTTGTCAGAGCCTGGTCCACCCCATGGCAGTGGGTCTTCTGCCACCACGCTCAGCAGGGCTGGATCCAGCCCAAATCTTCAACAAAGGTTTCCCTCTTAGAGACAGGGAGCTTCCCTGCCTGCCCACCCCAGCAGCCAGCCAGAGGGACCACTGGTGGCAAAGGGAATGGTGGTACATCCCACTGGCAGTCCCAAGCATCAGTAGCACTGAGCTCCCCTCTTTGGAGCCACCAGCTGAGAGCAAGAGCTGGAGACAGACACCCAGCCCAGGGCTGGCAGGTGGGGCAGTGCCAGTCTTCAGGCAAAACCGAGAGGTGCAGGGTGGCTCTGCTCAGTAGCGCCAGCATGGACACACATGCAGCCCAGTCTTCGCATTGCAACCCACCACTGCAGCATCCTCATGGTCATGGAACAAGAAGGGAACCCCAGCTAAGAGAAAAGGGAGTGGGGAGAAGAAGGGGAAGCCATTCAGGAGGCAGAGCCTCCCGAGCTGTGCCCTCCCTTTTGAAGTCCACGCTGCAGTTATAAGAGCCTGCTCAGATCCCTCTGTCTTTGCTCAGCTGCAGCATGGCTCTCCCATGCTGGAATGCTGTACCACTACCCAGGCAGCTGAAGGTTTCCTCTCCCACTGCTGCCTTCTGTGTTGCAGATCTTCCCTGGCAGCAGCAGCACTGACTGTGAGGATCTAAGGGAGCTGCTCAGCCAAAGGAGCAGCACGGGGAGGGTCTGAACAGGCGCCTCGGGGAGATGCAAGGTACATACTAAACCTATGGTGTCGAAGGCTGAGAAACAGCACCTTGTTCAGGAGGCAGATCCGGAAACAGAGCACAAGGAAAAAAAAAAAGCATTCAGCTCACTCGTTTGCCAAGCTGCGGAATGGGCACCAAACAAACAAGTCTTCGGAGATGTCTGCCTCAGAAAAACAAATTCTACCTCCCAGTCACTCCCCAGGCCTTCACGTTCTGCACTGCCTGTGTCGCAGGAGAAGGGAGATGCTGGCTGTCACCCTGAGAAGATGCAGGCAAGCCCCACTGCGGTTACCTATCCAGGGCAGGGAGCCTGATGCAGCCCAGGCTTGGTTCCAGGAACTGTGTTAGCAGGGCTCTAGTCCATGCATTAGTCTCCTCCTAGGACTACGCAGCATTTAGATACTGCAGTGCTTTTACAGGGTCATGGTAACCCCTGCTATAAACTGTTTACAAACCAGTTTTGTCTTAGGCTTCTGAGGTAAAACACATACACCTCGGCAGCACTGGGGTTTCCGAAAGCTGATCAAGTGCAAATGACGGGATACAACCACAGCAGAGACGGAGGAGGAGCCAGCTGCAGAGTCTAATCCCAGTAGGAACTGCAGCATCCCTGTTCCTCTCCCAGGCTGCAAAGGGCTCACAGGAGCAAACAACCGGCTCCACGGCTTCCCCCCGCAGAAGCAGCTGAATAAGGTTGTCTCCTTGAGCTATTAACCAGCCTTGGATAAGTCCAGCATAACAAACAAGCAGATGAAAAAGCTGGGGAAAGGGAAATCTGTCCCAGAACAGTGTCACTGGGAGGAGAGCAGTCTCTGATATAAATGCCATCGTCATCTGCCCGCTGCAGTCTGATGGAATGAGGCAAAAGACTTGCCCTACTTCACTGCAAACAGGGTTTCCCTCCATCACCAGGAACCTCCCTTATTGCTCAGGCTCAAGCACTGGAGAGCCATAAGCAAATCTGCTATTGCAAGTGCACAGAAACATCTCTGCAGTGCTAGAGGGCAGAACTGGTCCCCCTCTGTGGGATCCCAGTGCCTCAGTTCACCACACAGAACACACAAGGCAACTCTTACCAGGCGCCTGGGCACTAACTGTAACACACGTTGGAAAAGGCAAGGGTTGGGCTCCTGGTATAGCCTCCCCTCCCTCATACATGGCATTTGTCTCTGAGGTGGCAATGTCTCCCTGGCATTGCCCCTGAGATGAACAGAGCCAGAGTCCCACAGCTGCAGTTGCTGCCCTGGGATGCACAGGGAGGGACGGCGGGGATTATTTACAACCAGCCGTGAAGCAAAAGGAGATTCCCACAATGTACAGGGCAGAGGCAATAGAAGGCGGAGGCGGGAGGGATCCTCTTCTAAAAAAAGCCTTGAGGAGACAAACATGCCCAGCACTCCAGTGGCCAAGCACACGGGCCAAAAGACCTTAATCCCCCCTGCAACCTTGACCCTGCAGCTTTGAACACTAAACACCTTCAGAAATCCTTCAAGCTCTTTAAGCTCCTCTCTGTAACAGTTCAGCCCTGGCCCCATCCATTGTCCCCCTGTTTAACAAGTGTTTCCATGTCATCACCTCCCATGCCTCTTACCTGTCTCTCCTTGCAAAGACCTGCCTTAAATCTCCGATGCTAAACCGTCACTTTTCAAGACGCCCTGGGGCTCAGAGGGTTAGGTGTTCTAGAGACAGCCCTCTAAAGGACTTAAAAAAACAATCAAAAAAGCCCCAGAGCAGCAGCCTGAAGGCCCAGGTAGCTCCTGAGTGCCAGGCAGTGGCAGCAGCTTTCAGGTGTCTCCAGTGGGACTCTTGAGCATCAGTTTCCATGGCTCTTCCCTACCATTCACTTACATCATGCAAGAAATGAATGAGATCCCTTTGACCTCAAATCCCTGGAATAAGGTTGGCACGGAAGATCTAGGAATTGCCACTGTCTTCCAAGGTCGTGGACAGAGACTGGCAACTCCTGGCCAGGATGGTCCCAGCAAATACCCACATCACACACCCTATGCCTACAGCCCAGATTGAGGAGCTACCTGAGGTGGCTCAAGACTAGGCAGGCAGCATTGCCAGCTGCAGAGGGAAGAGGAAGGTTGAGCATCCAGGAGCCAGGGAACTCTGCCAGCAGTCAGATCCTGCAGCGATACCAAATTCTCCATTTTACACAGCAACTTGGAGGAGGAATGGTCCCTTCCATCAGATACCACCTGAGCAGCAGGACAAGGACATTTTTTGTCTGTTCCCAGGCTGAAGAGCTTTTCCCTTGGCATTCCCTACCCTCCAAGTATGCATTGCTGAGTGAAATTCAGCTCCATTAAAATTCACCACCATTAAGTGTATGTGTAGGCATGTAATGCCAAGAGGAACATGGGCTCAGTCAGCTCTGGCCAGTAGTTCTTGCTACTTGCCTTGCTGGGACAGAGAAGCACCTGAGGCCCTGCCTGGCTTCTAGGTACAGCAATCTGAGATATGTCAACATGAGGTACCTTCAAAGACAATAGAGCACGTTTCCCATTTTTCAATCCCCAGACATCTCCTCTGGCTCCCCACCTGCCCTGGCCAATGGACCCTGACATGTGGGATTCAGCCACACTGCTGGGATGCTCAGCAATATTGGCGCCAACAGTTGGTTGTGATGGAAATGAGGACATTGCTACAGCCTGTCCTTCTCCCCTCCTGCTGTTTCTGAAGACAAGACCTCCCTGGGTCAGTCCACAAATCCAAGCTCCCCTTCCCACTAAAGTCTCTCCTCATTGCATCACGAGACACCAGTAAGCACAGCACCATTAGGAGAGACTGCAGCTCCCCTCTCCTCCGCCAGCTGCTTCATACAAGTCTGTGACAGCTTCTGGCCACAGGAAGGATGCCCTTAGCCTAAAAAGTGCAGGTCACGGACTGTACCCCTTCTGCCTGCTCTCATGGTGTAAGATTACACTGACACCCTAGTTGGCAGCCACCACAGAGCAATCAGACAATCTTCTTGTAATCCCTACGAACCAGGGGACACTATAGGTGAGGGAAACTCACCTGAACGCTGCCCCTGCTACACTTCTTTCATCCAAAGTGGCTCTTGAACTGGCACCTCTGAAAAGCCACTGTGCTGTCTTGAAAGTAGCACCAGCACTGGCAGAGCACTGACAGCAAGAAACCCCGTCACAGCATGGCACAAGCATGTCCTCATGCTAAAAAGACACCTCATAGTTTAGCTACCCTGGTCAGGATCTGTTTGGAGAGCTGGGCTCAGGGCATCAGGAGTTGTTAAATGGAAGCAGGAAGAGAGGAACAGACACAGAGCAGAGTACACAGTATTTGTACAGCTTCCCAGTCCTTGAACTTCAGCATTCCTCTCCTGCAATTATTTATTTCTAAATATAAGTTGTATATATAGAATAACACTGCATGAGCATGCATGTTCTGTCTAAGCCAAGGAGACAGAGAATACTAGGATTATGCAGCACTCACTGACTGCAACTCCTCAGCAGCAGAGGAGACAAGTGATGCATCGGCTCCTGAGCACCCCACAAGCTGCCCTTTGAGCTGTGCTCTCACCAGAGAGGGCAACCCACCACACCAGGAGAACGCTGTCCTTCCTACACTGCCCAGCTGACTTCCATGGGTCACCAGCCCCACGGCGTAAGGTAGGTCTCACTAGTCGCTGCAGTTGCTTTCTCTCCTCTTGGGAAGCCCAAGCTGCAAGCAGGATCTGTGGAGGCAGACAAAGGGGCTGGCACACCTGCCTATCGGTGCTGCTCCCCAGGCACAGGGCACTCTGCTCTTGAGCATTTCTGGAATCTGCTGCCTGGACTCCAGAAAAGTCTCTCCAAAAAGGGGAGACTGCAGCACATGTGGAGGCAAAGCTGTGCTGGTACCTGGCCTGCCCCAGTCTGCACCTTCCACTCTCTCCAGCCAACCTCCAGCTGGGAGCAGCGACCAGCAACAGTCCCTGGCGTTGCCAGGTCCCCAAGCCCTCTCCCCTGCTATCCACCGCGCCTTCCCTCGCAGTGACCTAGGCAGCTGTGCCACCTCCTGGATGCCCCCAGAAGCCAGAGCGCAGCAAGGCGGGGGTCTCCACTTCCATTTCTCCCAGCATAACAACCTCTGCCCGTGGCAGGAAGCCCAAGCGGCGCCCCGCGCCTCTCTTTGGTGATTTTCTCCCTTCCTCCTCCACCCCGGCCACTCTGGCTCCGGCCCCCGCTCCGGACGGCGTTGGCCGCTGCGTCCCTTCCAGCCGCGGCGGTTCCGCGGCGATCCCCAGGTGACAGGCGAGCGATGGAGAAGCGAAGCGCCGGAGCATCCCACGGGCGGCGGGGACCGACGGGTGGGTTTCCCGGCCCACCCCTCACACCCCCCCGCCGGCCTGCACCGCATCCCCGGGGCCGGAGCGGGGCGAGGGGGGCTCCCGGAGAGGGGGTCCGTACCTGTGCGGGCAAAGCCCGGCCCGGCCCGCGGCGGGGCGGTCATGAACGCGCCATGCAAAGCGGGCGGGGAGAGAGGGTGGTTGGGGGCAGCCCCGGGCTGGGGGCGGCCGCTCTCCTCACCTCCTCTCGGGCCCCCTCCGCCTCCTCCTCCGGAGGCACCGGCGTGCTGCTGCCTCCCTCGCTGGCGGCGGCCGCCGAGGCCGGGGGGGACATGGCGGCGGGGGCGCCCCGCTGGCGGTGCCTGCGGGCTGGGCAGCCGCATTATCCCGCCCGCCGCCGGGCGCTGCCTCGCCGGTCGCCGGGCGGGCGGCGGGGCGGCGCGGCGGGCGGGCGGCGCGGCGGCATCGCCCCCAGCCGCGGCTCGGCGGCAGCGCTGGCCGCCCGCCGGCCCCCGGCCCCGGCCCCGCTGCAGCGCAGCGCCGCTACACGCGGCGGAGGGCGGGCAGAGCCGCGGTGGGAGGGCCGCGGCGGAGGCGGGGGGGGGGGGGGGGGGGGGGGGGGGGGGGGGGGGGGGGGGGGGGGGGG